GGGGGGGGGGGGGGCACAAAAATCGTTAATGGAAGCTTAGCTAATTCTTTTTAAGAACATTAAAGTAACATTATGTGGTTATTTTCCCTATGATCTGCATGTTGCCAATATATTTCATATTTTGTCCAGTATTTTATCTGTGTGTGTGTGTGTGTGTGTGTGTGTGTTTCTGTTTCAGCGAGTGTGGTTTGGACTACAGAGAGAGGGAGAGAGACACAGACAATAAATTAGGACCAGAGAGAGAGAGAGGGAGAGTGAGAAGGGAGCTGATAAAAAGGAGCAGGAAACCAGACCAAACATGGGCACAGGTGACGCACAGAGGATACCCAGTTTCCATAGCAACAGGCAGGTGCAAGACACTGGGAGCTAATCTAGCTTTCAAACTGCTGAGGTGAAACATTTGCATGCACATCGCTGTGTGAGTAACCAAATACACACACACGCACACTAAGACAAGAATATAGTTATGTATGTGAGAGGAAAGTACACACACAACGTGTGAAGAGCCGCACTGAGATAAGATGGTGAACAGCATGCTGAGCACACACCATGACGAGAGCAGAGCATGTTCCATGACAAACACACATGAACGTGTTATCAGTAATAGAGAAAATGTGATTGGCCAACCAGGATCCCGACCTTACTGACCTACCGCGCACACACACACACACACACACACACACACTGGGAAACGCCAGACACACTGAAGACACAGAGAGATGGGAGGAGGATGAAAGGGAGTTGACAACGAGGGGAGAGGGGGTGAAGGATGAGGCAGGAGAGTGAGATTAAAGGGGAAGTGGAGATAGGGGGATGGAGTGTTGATCTGTACCCTGGGGGTGAAATACATGATGAAGAGGAATAAAAAAAAAGACAGAGAGGGGGAGAGCAGGTGGAGGGAGGGGGTTATTGCATGGTGAGGAGTGAGTGAAAGAGGTTGAGGGGAGGGAGAAACAGGAGAGGAGGAGCTGAGAAGGGGGAGTAGAAAGGAGGAGAAGTTGAGAGAAGTCAAGGCAGCTATGTACTGGACAGTTCTGGGTCCAGAAATGATGGCAGGAACTTTGTTCTGAGAAATAATGACACGTTAGCAAACCGAAAAAAAAGAGCTGTGCTGGCCACAAATGTAAGGTAATCAGCACATTCATTAGGGTTTATCGTCTGGGGACCATGAATTTCTTTACAAAACTTTGACTACATGTTCAGATATATATATATCTACCAGTTTATATGTAAAAACTGTGACCTGCTGGAGGCGCTAACACTGCCACTAGTAGCAATCCTGATAATAATGGTTGCAGTCAATGTGCTTTTTCCAGCCCATTCATTGCACAGTGTCTTTATCATACAACCACTGGGGGTTGCTAAAGTCAGGAATTTAGAATAGAATAGAACAATTCTATGTATAGTTTAATGCATCTGTTTTTATAATTTGTCAGCACTAGAGTGAGTGAAACAGCTGTTAAATTGGCCGTCTTCATCTAGTGCTAAGGATCTTTCAATGCAAACATGTTGACACCTTTCAGTCTGTAGCCCTTTTAGCTGCCTCTCTTTGTAGTGCTGTGCATTCGAGGAGGAAGGAAAGTTAGAAGGTAAGAATGCATTTATTTTTTACTGTGTGCAGTATTTTATAGTAACCATTAAAACACAGTTATGTTTTGATACAGAGCTCATTGTATTTCTCTGCTCATTGGGCAATCTCATCTGTTCAAACATTCACATACACACACACACATTTATATGCAATTTTATGTACGCGCATATGCACATATGGGAGATTGAGAGTACGCACATTTTGAGTTCAGTTGGCAGTAATGTGCCACTTCCTGTGAGTTAGCCAGGAGGGACGTTAGATTCTGGGCCAGTGCACCCTCGCAACTTCTGTTCTTTTGGTTTCCTTTCCCTCCTCTGCTCTCTGCTATGTTGTTACCCTGTGTTACATTATGTTACATGAACCTATCTTGTGTTATTTTGTGTGACACCACCCAGGGTTTGTGTATGTTTTGTTGTATTAAATTAGGATACGTGACAACTTACATAACCTTGTGTTGCATCATGTGGTGCTCTGCTCTGTCCGGCTGCTTGCCCTGCTCTGTCCTGTTCTCGTCTGTTCATCTGTGCTCCGTTGTGCTCAGCTGTTTGCACACAAGGCGACTAACTTCAGCCTGTGCTCTTTTGTTTAATTCACAAATACTACATACCAACCAAAGTCTGTTTTATGTGCTACACTACTGAGAAATATGCAAAAGGCAGAGGAGAGGTGCACATTGAACCAAAAAGGAGATCATAACATAGTGAGGAAAGGAAGGAAGGAAAAGGAAAACAGAAGAAAGAAAATAGAAAAGCCAAGGATGGAAAAGAAAAGAGGTGTAAAGCTGCAGGTCGATGTGAATCGATTCTCCCTCTGACAGCCGTCCTCAACATCGGATGCAAGACCTTCAGCCCCACACTTATCAATGTCGCCACTCACTCCCAATCTATCAATACCTCAATTATCAGATTGAATATCACTCTCCCCAGTGTGCTGGATGAGACTGAAAGCTATTCTTCATGCACATCTTTGTTGATTCACTCACAGTTCAGCTCCACTGCAAAGACCAAACAGCACAACGGGTCTGCAGGTAAACACAATCAGATATAAATCAGAAAACACAGAACCCTGGAGAGGAAATGCAGAAATGTGACAGTTTTGCTATAAACCGTTTTAGTGTATGATCAATAATCAGCACTGTAAAGTTAATTTACCTGTACTGTACTTAAATACACGTCTGCTACTTGTACTGTTTTGTATTTCAAATGTATGCTACTTTAAACTACTACACTACATTTCAGACTGTTGCATTTATTTAACAGCTTTAGTCAAGTTGCAGATTAAGATTTAAAAAACTATAATAAGCCTATAAAATATGATTCGTTGTTATACAGTAAATGAAACAGCCTAACAGAATATATTTACTGAAGGACTACTCAGACTTGAGTGCAGACTAACAGTGTACATCCATGCTAGCAGCTCTGTCAGGCTCCGCTCACGCACTGTGGAGCTTTTAGGTAGCTAAATACGAATGTCAGCATGCTAATATGCCCACACTGACAGTGCTAGAACACTGATGTTTAGCAGGAATAATGTTTACGGTGCTGACCATCGTGATGGTATCGTTAGGGTGTTATTGATGGTCCTTTAAAAACATCGCTCTATAGCACTACTAGTGGTCAGTAATGTTATATTTATGTCCCATGACAGGCCACTCTTCCTGCAAAATCAGTAGTACTAGTAGAGTAGTTGTGATATATTATAGTTTTTGCATTATTATAACTTATGCATTAATGTGTAAGCAACATTTTAATGTTGTAATTGGTCAAAGTGGAGCCAGCCTTAACTACTTTATATTTTTCTGGGTAGTTTATTTTATAACAACAAATGATATTTCATAGACTAATTATATTTTTTGGGATGAAGATCTTTAGCAGGAAAAACCTAGTAATTTGAGCTGTTCAATGTTACAAGTTCAATGTTTCCTACTGAATGTAGTGATGTTTAAGTAAGGAAGCATAAAATAGCAGTATTAAAGTCAATTTGAATTCAGTACTGTACTTGAGTACTTTCCACCACTGCAGAATAACAAAAACAGAAACCAATGTCGAATCAGCCAAGAAATACATGTAAGCTTAATCAGATGGAACATTTAAAACACTGCAGCCAAATCATATGAGATGCAACGTCGTGACAAGCTCTCCAAACACTGATGAGACAGAGCTCTAATAGTGTGTTTGCTACAATGACTAAGGACTGATATTTGAGGGAGAGGAGAGAGAGAGAGGCAGATTTTAGTGCTGAGTCACAGCAAGGCTGCTGCTGCAGCACCCTCCCCCACACAGAACCACACAGCCTGGCTGACTGGCTTTATCTCTCATCATGCCCTCTTTCTCTTCATACACACATTCACACACATATATATATATATATATACACACACACACACACACATACACACTCTGTATATGCCATGGAGTGTCTGCCATCTCTGCCTCTCCTCATCTATAGTGTCATACTTCTGTCTTTGTCGATCCTGTTCTTTCTGGATCTTTCACACCTCTTTTTTTAAGCCTATGCCTATTGTTTTTTTTTTTTCGCCCTGTCACTCTTTCGTAGCTCCCCCTGCCCCCTCCAGCCTCCCACCTTCCCTGTGAAGTTTAATTAAGAATGAAATCAGTCAGAGAGGGAGAAGGAGATCAGAGTGCTTGAGCTTGTCTGCTACAGGGTTGATAATGCTGCAGCTAATCTTCTCCTCCACTTGCTGTGTTTTGCTCTTTGACCGTGAGACGGGGCACCACTAAAGCCAAGCTCTCCATCCCCCCTGAGTTCCCCAGACACTGAACATGCACACATGCACACACTCTT